TGTTGATAGAAATGCATTCGCGGAAGAAAGCTAAACAAAAGGTTGTTTAAAATTGTCCTTCTACTTTTTCTTTTTTGTAGCTAAACAAGATAAAAGCTCGAAATCGCCTCCAAAAAACCCATCGTCTTCACCTTCGTCAAGTGATTCGTGTCCAGAATCGGCGAAAGATTTATTAAAACAATTAACAGTTGAAGATGTTAAAACATGGCTTCAACAAACAATGTTTCGTCATTTAGCTGAAACATGGTTTATACACAACGTGAATGGTAAAGAATTACTTGAGATAGCTAAGACGGGACGTTTGACAAACGGTACATTCGTGTTGTCTGGATATGAATTAATACAATTTAAAGATATTTTAAATTGTTTTGGTTTCGAACAAGAACTTGAGTAATATTTTTTTTAGAGTATTGTTAAAAAGCATTTCCTTTGAAAAAAGAAATGATAATTGTTGTATTTTTGTTTGTATTTGATCTGAAATAAAGACAATCAACTTGGGTTTTATTTTAAGTTTTTTAACTGATGAAATCAAAATGTAAAAATATTAAAGAATAAAAAATAAAAAAAGACAGACAATTAGGTACTGCATTGTCTAGGAGGAAGTAATTGAATGAATGAACAAATATATGTTCAATCAAATCACTCAATTTTTTAGGAATATAATATGAGTGTTGTTTATTTTAGTCTCAAACTATCGTCCATTGGAAAAGTTTAAGGGTTACTGTACTTTTATTATCCAGCACTTTCCCTGAGATACTTACAGCATATCACCGAAAAAGTAATAAAGTTGGTTTTGAGTTACTGAAAAGTGCTTTTTTGTGTTCAGCACACTCGATAATCCGGAAGATTTTCTATTTTTGGTGAGAGATAATTTTAAAAGTTTAGAAAAACTTTTCAAACTAATATTATTTTCCTATGGGAGTTTTTCATCCATTTTTCTTCGAAAATTTTTCCTAAACTTTTGGAAGTACTCATAGTCAAAAACAACAAACCTTGTGGGTTATCGAGTGTGCTGAATACGAAAAAACAATTTTCAGTAACTCAATACCAACTTTATTTTTGTTTCTTCCTGTGATAAGGATTCAAACACCAAATGTGAAAAAGGGAGGTTCTAGGTTTAGACAAGATATCTCTTAAAACAAGGGGAAAGTATAGAAAAACATAGGAGTATTTTGCCAGAGTTTACACCAAGATGTTTTATCTTAAAGAAGATTCAGAAAAGTAAAGAGAACAAGATTGTAAATTTCAAAAGTGCTGAAATTATTCTATATTTTGCTAGAATTTAGACAAAAGTAATCAATGGTCACTTTCAAATCGTTCTTAAAAGACTATTGAAAAAAGTTCGATAACAACAGACCGAGAATAGAGAAAACTCGGATGCAAGGTTATCCTCCGAATTGAATTCAGAAGAATGAAAAATTATCATGAAGTATATTGTTGAATAGTAATAAACGTCACTAAGTCTCCTGCAAAAGACTGATATCGGTAAGTATAGGTTCAATCAGAGTAATACTTTCATAGAAGTCGCCCTATCAAAGCATATTTACAATACAATTTTTGGGGCTCTATCCACGTCTTCAATATGAATAATAGATGAAGTCAGGTTTTTTGTAAATTTTGCTTTGGTTGTTTTTTTTCTTATTTTTTATTTTTGTGCTTTCAAATCCAGCATTTATACCAAAGATTTACTGTTTATCGCCAAAAGAAA